GAAGTTGGAGTTGTGAGTACTGTATAAGACCAGGCACACTGCCATGAATGTGTGTTTGTGTTGGTCAAGTTACACTGGTCAAACATGTCAGTGCTGCACCAATGTCTGGTAAACATGAAGGACAAATAGAGTGCAAATACTTCTTTTCCAATCATACTTTTGGCACATAAGGACCACGTGGACTTGTCTTATACCATGACTGGGTGCCATCCAACTGTTTATACCAGGATATTCCTGGGAAATAACTTCTGAACCAGTGAGGAAGTCTTGTCTTTTGAATTTGAGCTGAAACTTTTACTTTTTAAGGAACACAGCTCTTGGGTTGATGTATCTATTCAATGAAATGATCGTGTCTCCTTAATTACATTTAACAGCCTGCTACCATCATTGCATTTTCAGGATGAAACCCTTGTAGCATCCTCCTTGTATGACTTGATTTGCAATTTTGACTTCTGTTCACATTGTGCTATGTTGCAGACTAGGAACAAAAAAGATTCTAACTCAACAACGAAAATCTATCAGCATTTTACAAAGTACACTGTAAACAACATATGCAAGAATGTTCTAAAGGGAAAAAATTGTTAAATACTGGTAAAACGAATTAAAGAGAATAAGCATTAAATGTCTTAACTATATCCTTCACATATCTTTAGTAATTTGGCCCTAAAAGTCTCTATTTTTCCCCGACCCAATTGAAATGGAGTGATTGGGGCCGGAGATGCTCTCTGATCTGGAAAACCTTGAGTCTTATTTGAGTGGAAAGCTGTAATAAGAGATGGGGAAATGGAAGAAGTACAGTACAGTACTAAATCAAAGTGTTGTACACATGTTGTACCTTTGAATTGATGTCGCTGGTGGTTCATTTTCTATCATTTTAATGAGAGTTAAGTGTTGTTAAGGACATATAGTTAACAATGATTAGTATAGTACTTTAGAAGAGAATCACGACTTGGATTGTGTGTAAGGATTGAGGGTAATGAGGTAAAAATGTCTTTGAAATGACAGTATTTTGTATGATTTTGAAAAATCCTTGAGATTTTAATCACATTGTTGAAGTGACAATGTCACTTAAGAAAAATTCAGAATTGTTCTAGTAATTGAGAGGAGGGTATAAGGCATATTCCACCTTTATTTTCTTGCATTGAATTGTTTCTATCAGTGTTATAAATGCCCCCTCCCCTTCTAGAACAATCACTGAATCACAAGTCTTTGATGTTGTGAATTGTTTAATTATTATCCCGATCTCGTTGGACCGTGACACTAACTGTACAGGGTTGATGCCTGAGGACAGGCATCATTGCTTGTTTGCTGCTAAAGAGCTACCAGACTGTTTGTTATTGCCAAATCCCTCCAACAACTGTGTAAATATCACCAGGGCGGCTTTGGGTCAAATTTGTTGGAGCCACCATGACTTCTTTGGAACACGCCGGGAAAAAAATGTGTTTGCAAGGGATGGATAAAATTCCAAAATATTCAGAAGTTTAAAAGTGATCTGATGGCTTGCCAAGAAAAAGGTTAAACATAAAGCATTTTACCTCAGGCACATTTTGATCAACTATTGCACAAAATGGACTTAAGTTTGGAACAAAGAAGTTGGAAAACAACAAATTGACTTGAAGTTGCCCTTTTAGCCCAAGAATGGTACCGTTTATTTTTCCAATGGAAGAGAGTTGAGTCTAGAACCTGTGCAACACAGGCCCACTGAATGTTCATCTGTTAAAGTTAAGTTTGTATTCAGAAGAAGGCTTACTGTGAGCCTGGATGCAAGACTATGTCCCCAGTGACTGCAAATGTAGGTTGAAGAGTTAACTGGACAGGTTTTCATGTTATTTTTACATTACAGAAATACACTGTTATACTAATGCTTGGTACATGTTGAATTCTCTACATTTGTTAAGTACAATTCTGTTGTATATTGATATCATATCAACTGTTCCATGAATGTATTATATAGAGCGGACGTTTTAGCAGTAGAGGTAGAAAGTGTATCCTAGCTTAATTAGCCCTTAGCGTTTTTGCATGCAGTGAAGGGTAACGAAGCGTGCAATTTACTGTAGTGCACAAGAATCTTACAGTGAAAATAATGATTTGTCGAAAGCTTGTTTTTGTATTGCGAAGTGTACTGCGACACAAATTGTCACCACAAACCATGATAGCTCTGTAAAATGGTTGACAGCATATTAATAAACTTGAAAGCACAAGGCTGCAGACTCTGAGTTGTTAATGAATGAATTATGACCTGTGTTGTTGTAATTAATAACATACATTGTACCATTCCACTAAGGCCATGTTGATTTGATTATATGGATGACATCCGCGCGCGCATGAATTTTCGGCCGTTTCCAAAAAAAAAAAAAGTTTTCAACCATACTGTAAATTGTACAAAACAGTTGCAAAATGAGCAAAAATAAACCGTAAGTTACAAAAAATAAGAAAAAAAACTATACCAATGTCGTAGAATGCCAAAATCAAAGGAAAAAAGACGAAATTGTAAGGAAATGAACTTGAAGATTAGATTATTCGCCAAACCATATTCTGTCCCATTTGTTCAACCCTCATGACCACGTAGATTTCATAATGAAAACAACTTTTTTTTGCAAAACTTTTTTTTTATTCGCACGCGCGCATCAGTTTTGGGGCTCCCGGAGGATGTCATCCATATAATCAAATCAACATGGCCTAACAAGTAGTCAGTGGAAATTGCAATTGGGCTCAGCCAAAAAATAAGGAGCTAAGTAATTAGTTAAAGAATAATATCACTTTGTGCTTTCTATGAGAATTTGTATTGATTTTTAATATTGCTTTGTTCCTAAGGCCACACCAATTTAATTTCTTGGTTAATGGATTTTTCTAGAAAAATAATGGAGCGGGCGGGCGAAAAATAAATAAAAATAAAAACAGCCCTAGGCATCCTATTATGGCCCAAAATGGTACGATAGGAGTCATCAAGTCAACACACCAGGCTGGTTCAAAATTTAAACAATGAATTTTGAACTTTTATTGATACCATTGCATTGAAAGATGGAACAACTGTAACAACTACGATGTAAAGGACTGTTATCAACTGTTCAGGGCAAAAGATGAGCATTTTGCAGTTGATTCTGAATTTTTATTTTTATTTGCAAATCAGAAAAAAATGAAGCGGCGAATCTGTTAACCAAGAAATTGAATTTGTGTGGCCTAAGGGCTGAATATTAGACATAAAATTTTAATCTACAAGAAGGAAACATTGAAATACAATGCCAAACAAGTCGAGAAACCCAGAGATTTTATTTCTGATGCCAAAGTTCAAACATTTCACTGACACATCTCCAAAGACATTTTGTGCAGTCCGATCTAGTGTGAAATCACCGTGACACACAATTACATACATGGAAAAAACATTAAAAGTCGTGAAAAATACCCATAAAATCATTGTTTATACAAGTTGATCACAAACATTTGGCAAAATTGTACACAACTTACACTGGACTCTGTGACCTAGTAGTTCACAACATGTATTATGTAAAAACACTTGCTTAGAGTAATCCATAACAACAGTGACAACAAACACAAACTGCAGCCAAAACCTTGAACTCAAGACAACCTCACACATTACTGACAACCTATACACCACTTTATATGGTACTATCCATGTTAAAATGTCCTCAAAATGTTGCCACTGTCAGGTATACCGGTAAATAATCACTGCATTCAGAATAGACTTTTTTCATTACAATGTATTTTTAAAAGTCTTAATTGGCCAAAGAAAGTTGAATTGTCCAAAAACCATGAACCATATCAGATGGACGTTTCATTTTAGGACAAGTGTTTTTTTTTTATTCCAGAGAATTTTCAAATCCCTTGAACCTAACTCATAGTCACAGATTCACAATCAATTCTTCCATCTATCTAGGTTAAAAGCAAATAAGCTGGAATATCAAGAAAATAACAATATAACATTCAGCATCTAAAAAATAAAATTCATACACAAAATAAAAACGGCATTCTTAAAAACTTCTTTAAAAGATACCACAACTCTTGGTTCCAGAACACATACTGCAAGTAAGCAGCCTAAATACAGGCCACAACAAAAATACCATCAATTCTTTTTCATGTTATGATATGTACATCAAGCCATATATGATTGATCAAACAAAAAATTTGCCACAAAAAGGCTTTAAGTGATAAGATATGTGAGAAAAATATACAGAGAAGTACCATAAAATATACAAAAAATACTCAAACAGAGCCAGAAATAAAAGCAGCAGTTTAAAACTGAACACTTGTCCCTCAATTTAAGATTTAATTTCATGTCCAGCATGAAGAAAATGACAATAATTGTGGGTTTTTTGTGATCATCTTAAATTTAGAGAAAAGAAAGAGGCAAACTTACATGTACGTGAAAAATAAAACCTCTTCTCTGAAAACTGACTTCACTCACTCCAAAGTTCAAAAGGACGGACTTTCATCAAAATCTGACAACTGGTCAACTGAAATGTCGACACAACTTGTCACATACATTTATTACCAACATCTGAGTCCTGTGTAGATATTCTATCACTAACATGTGCACATACATGTATCAAAGTACATGTACCCAAAAACGCCTTACAAACAACACTTACTTTCAAAATACACTTCTTATAAAACACACGGTTCTACAATTTGTAAGACCACAGGTACAGAAGTCCTAGAAGAAATCATTATTATAATAATTATGTACACCATCAGTTCTAACTAGCAGCATTAAGACTTCACCTACCTGACTGTTGCTATAAACCTATTAACAACAAAAATAAAAGCAGCATGGTCATAGCAACAGTATCATACACTAGCAAACTTAAAAACAAAACAATTACATGTATATGCAAGGGTTGAAAAAAAAGCGCTTTGAGAAGTTTGATTTTGAATTTGGAACTGAGTTTTAACTTTATCAGGACTTTAACTTTATCAGGACTATTCCATTTCAAAAGTTGGGTGGTCAGTCAAAAATTATTCTTGCCTCTTTTAATACCTGGACAAAATCTTTTGAGGATCGGCCAACATTTTTGACAGAGTAGTCGTAAGTAGAAAGAACATACACCTTTTCTTTCAACCAGTGCATTTATCTGTATAAAATAACACTAAAAACTTCTGACATAGGTGCAATAATCTTTCAAATATGACAGCCATATTATCAAGCAGTACCTCCTACCAGGCAGATACCATTGGCAGAGGGGGGTTTTTAAGCTTGTGTTTCTTCATCCAGGTCCTCAGTGCTATCACTCTCCTCAGTGCTGGAGGGTGCAGACCCCCTCCTGCTGCCTCTGTTTGGTTCCTTCTGTTGCTGCACTCTGCTTGATCTCCAGATAGAGGGGCCCTTAAAAAGGTTACATTACATCAAATGACCTGTTTACCTAGCCTTTGCAGATCTTAATCTAAACATTGTTTAAAGCTTAGAATCTAGTGATTATGTCCCTACTGTACTTGGTGACAGTGAGTTCCACTCTATGACAGTTCTAGGAAAAAATAGTTGATAACTCTGGTAATTGAAGGAATGACTATTTCTTGCTCTTGTTCATCATTCAAAGTTCATGTTTTTGTAGTAACAGTTTTTACAATAGACTTACTGTATTGGCCACACTATCATTGTTACCATACATTGTACTATGTACAACTGTCAAGCAATAAAGTACATCCATCCATCCATCCATCCATCCATCCACCACCCACCCACCCATCCATCCATCCATCCATCCATCCATCCATCCATCCATGAAAATGGATGGAATATGTAGAAAGATTTAGCGAGAGCATCAGTATTACCTGCCAGTCACTCTTGACAAAGGCCATGATGCAGTGCAGGTTGCCTCCCGTCTTGCGGGTTTTCCTGGTCTGCAGCCCGAGGTGAAGCCGCCTGATGTCCAGGTACGTCGGATTCTGGCAGTTCAAGTCTGTGGAGATGTCGCTCCATCTGCGGGGTGGGAGGGGGGCGTCGTGAACTCTCAGCACATTTCAACAAACTTTCACAACGTCTATTTTTCTGACACTTTACAAAAAGAAATAATTCAAGGAAGGGCTCATTTCTGACCCTTCAAAATTATGAATGAAAGCATACACTGAGCTAAAACATGTTTTCTTGTTAAATAAAATGTGGATTTGATTTCACAGTCTGTGGTTCTAATTCACTGTAGGATGAACTTAGAAGTAGGTGTTTGCTGTGTTTTAAATTTGCAGTTGCATGACTGAATACAGACTAACAGTACAATTTGTCATGAATTGCATTGCACAGGTCAACAAAAAAACACAGATTTGAAAATAAAACCTCAGAGTCTGCACTTGACTAGTAGTCTAGAATAAAAAACACCCTCTGACCTTTCCCTCAATATTTTCCACAGATGGCTATAAGACCATGAATGAAGCCTGTACAAATGGTAACTGCCTGGCAAATGGATACTGCCTGGCCAATTTGATACTGTTACAGTATTAAATTTATTTTTGTACTCTGCAGCCACTGAAAGATTTTCTTGGAAATGTTGCAACCCTGAGTAGAGTCTGTAGTCACCTGATACAGTGGAGACCTGGGTGTTTCCTGCTGGGATCACCAATCAGCAGCCACGTCTCTACTTCATCCTGGAGCAGGTCAGCTCTGCGAACAGGGAAAACAGTTAACCTCCAGCAAGCCAAGGGACACATAAAACACTTCTCACAAGTGTCTACTGCTGGAGGTGTTATTCTTCTGTAATTTGATTTCTTAAAATTGAAATGACTTGCAACTTCAAGAAACATCTAAACTTGAAAAGGATTGAAGTCAGAAGTTATTCCACAATGTTAATTGGTCGGCAATTACAAACAAAACGTACTGAAGAAGTGTAAAATTTGTATGCTATTGCTATACGTACATGTATGACAAACGAAAATTTATTATATAACAGCTTACCACAGTGACTGCCGTTATGTGCTTACCAAGGGAAATTATTCATGTCCAATATATTGTACATACCTGTACAACAAGGTTCCCCTATTCAACACCCAACAATGTGAAAACCCTGGACTTGCTGTACTGTTGTTGAAAAAGAACATCTAGCCAACCTGATAAACTTATTCACGTCTAACCTTCTGATGACGGGGAACAACATATACGATAAACCAGATACATGTGTAGTGAGTGTGAGTGAATGTGACTGCACACACCTGTAAGCATGAGCTGACTTTGTGTGCAATGCTAGGGATTAGTGCTTCATGTCCAGATACATTGTAACTATTATACACACCTGTAAGCATGAGCTGCTTTAAGAGGCACGTCTTCATACCCAACAGGACAGAAATAGTGGTTCTGGCAGTGGTAAATAAACGTCGTGTTGTCGTCACGCAAACCGTTCTTCACATTCGCGAGCGCCGTCTCGTCCGTGGTGCCCATGGTTCGCCCCTTGCCGTGCGGCTTGTAGAGGTAGTAAGCCCTCCCGCGCACGCCGTAGTGGTTGTTCAGGAGGGTAAACCACCTCATGAGGGTGGAGTTTCCGGTGAATGGTCCGAAGCGGATCTCGCCGAACGGGGGTTTGAAGCCCAGGACTGTCAGGGCTTCTTCCTGGGTGATTGGTCTGTGACTGGCAAGAGAAAAAAGAAACTGATCTCAATCTTCTGATGAATGAACAGTTTTAGCTCCCTGAAGAGCTATTTTTTCGCTGATCGTGACTGAAAAAACATACATTATATCCAGTACATACACTCAGGTTCATTGTACATGTACAAATTTTACCTGCCCCACTCAAAATTTAGGATCACACTAAAAACTGTTTGGAAACCATTGCCATTATTGTTTATTTCTTATTAGGCCACACTGACTTAATTTTATGGATGACATCTTCGCGTATTGATTTTCACCTGACACAGTGTTTTCCTGTACCAGTTGCCACCATGAATATATACTAGTAGTGAACATGTCCACTTTTCTCAGACAGTGAAATTTTGCTACCGTGAACATACAGTGGCTTACAGTGTATCATTCTATTCATTCTGTGCACGTTTCGCTGTTGCATTTGGCAGGGTCGGCAGAACTTTTGTGTCTCAGGTGGGAGTCCAAAGTGCAAACTAGTACTGTTAAATGATTTCAAGATTGTGGAGTCAGCGTAACTTGACGATTTTGATGAAGATTCCAGTCCAACCACCCGCTGAGCCTGGTATATATATCGCTGCCAATCCATACAGTGACGAAAATTTGCCCCGGCAGTCGACAAGCTCACGATCCTACCACCAGCTTTTCAAAATGGCTCTGATAGGGCTACTTTCTGTAACCATTGTCGTCTGTAGCTTGTTACACAATGGCGTATCATCAGCGGTGGAAGAGAAAAATGAAGAGGAATCCTGTTCTCGACAGCTGAACCAGAACATCACGGTTGTGGCCGCGCCTGGGCCCGCCGGACCGAAAGGTAAGAAAATGACAGCTACAGCAACCAAGGCCTGGTATCCTTACCATGGGGACCTCTAGTCTCGACTAGGCCTTTCTACAGGAATACGGATTGTTACAGTAGAATTCGGCAAAAAAGAGAGTAAAATTGGCCATTGGAGTCCGGACACGGGAAGGTTGTTTACTTCCCTTCGGCGGTCAGTCAAACCCCAAGGCGGCCAAAATCAGTCAGTCTGGTAGAGACAAAGTTACCTCCCCTGTGTCTGTAAGGCACTGGGAGTGTTGCCCTCCCACCCAGGCCCATCAGTGCACGCCGCAAAATTTTTTTTACGGGATTGGTTTCAAATTCAACTGATTGGAAAGGCCAGCTAGAAAAAAAGGTTGTCAGAAATACAGGCCTATCCATGCTCAGATCAGTAGGGCTGGGGCCAAAAAAACACTCATAAGTCCATTGATGCAATATGGAGAATGACCAATGCGGCCTGTGTAGCAATCTCCTTTGCGCGCGCGTGTGTGTGTGTGTGTGTGTGTGTGTGTGTGTGTGTGCGCGCACGCGTGGGTGTGGGTGGGTGGGTGTTTGTATGTGTGTGTGTGTATGGGGGGGGGAATAATGCGTTGTTTTTATTTGCTTATTTCTCATGGCATATTTTTCCTCTGCTCTCGACTCGTTACTAGATTTCACCTGTTTGTGCGTTCGCAGGTCCCGCCGGTATGCCAGGGGAGGCAGGTGTGAGAGGCGCGCCAGGTAAGCTGGGCCCGGTCGGACCGAGGGGGGAGCGGGGACACAAGGGTGAGCAGGGACCGGCCGGTGAGAAAGGAGCACCCGGGACCAGCCCACCTGCCCCGCCTGTCGTAGCATTTTCCGTGGCGCGAACGGGTACCCTTAACCAGCCGTCGTCCAACATGGTACTGACGTATGACGTCATCCTTAGCAACGAGGGCGCGGCGTACAACGTGGGGACGGGCAAGTTTGTGGCGACGGTCGGAGGCGTCTACTTCTTCACGTTTACTGGGATGACACTATACAGCTCCTCCAGCAGTGCTGCCCGTATGTACTATCTCCGCCTGATGAAGAATGGGGAGATGATGGTCAGCCTACACGAGCACAACGGGGGGCAAAACCAGTACCAGTCCAGCAGTAACAGCGCCATCCTGCACCTACTTCCCCGGGACGAGGTTTGGGTGCAGCTGAACAGCGGCCGCGCTCTGTACAGCGACAGCGACAGATACCTGACGTTTTCCGGGTTTCTCATTCACGCGGACTGAATCAGTCACGTCTGTTGGCACAGGCCTCACATTTTTGTCCCGAACAATGGATATACTGTCCCAACCTGTTTTTTGGGGAAGTATTGTAATGATTGACTTCAACTTGAAGTCAATACTTTTGCTTTTTTTCAACCCCAGGTACACTATAATTGCAGTGTAGACAGGAAATTCCGGGGGACTTTTCCGAAAAGTTGGGACGTGTGCCTGATAAACAAAAGAAGGGCTGACATTCTGATGTTGATTATTTTGCTATTGTCCCAAAAAAGTCTTTTTAATCGCCCCAGCCTAAATTTTAGTGGTCAGTTGACATCGGATGAATAGGACAACCTTTAATTTTGAGCCCTGTGGCAGGCAATTTTTTTAGTAGCAGGATTTTCAGCAAGGTTATGACAGAACCGGCGGTTATCAACAAGCACTTACGATCCAAGACAACGATCTCCGTCACAAGGACAATAACCTAAAAAAATTGGGTGCACAAAAATTTTTGGGGTGCACCATAGAAAACAAAATAAGAAAAATGTCAGCAAAAGCTAATTATGTTTCATAATAAAATTCTAAAGAAAAGTAGTACGTCAGTTATAATATTTTTCTGATACTTGGATTTTAAGAATATGCTGTAATGCAGCTGTATACATGTACTACTATACATTTAACATGTTGACATACGTAAATCTACGAAAATATGCCGGCTTGTCGTAAAAGTCACTATGTACTACTGCAATTCACAATTATATTGTACATCTACCAGCTTTATGCCTGTGGTTAAGCCGCGTTTTTTTGTCTGGACTTTTTTATTCACCCACACGCACTAGTTTGGGTGTCTTAAGAGGATGTCATCCATAAAATTAAGTGGCATTACTAGTATTTCTTATAGTTCGTGGGTTGTAACATACGTTAAATAAAAATCCACATGATATACATGTAAACATAATTTTATATATAGGTTATGTACAGGTAGACATCAGAAATGATCGGCCTGTGACTGGGTAGAAAAAAAAGAAGAAAATGATGCTTGCGCATTGATTTTCACCTGTTCTAAAAAAAAAATTGACTCCTCCGAGGCTCTGGCCTGGGTGCCATCCTCCGTAGTCCATGGTAGCCAGCAACAGTAGGGAGCTGGTGGTAACTACGGAGGACAGCACCCAGGCTGCCAAAGCTCCACAGCTCATCAAATCATCCTGTGCACGTTTCGCTGTTGCATTTGGCAGGGTTGGCAGAACTTTTGTATCCCAGGTGGGAGATTTTCCCCGTCAGTTGACAAGCTGTGCTACCACCAAGTCTAAGCTTTTCAAAATGGCTATGATGGGGCTACTTTCTGTAACCATTGTCGTCTGTAGTTTGCTATACAACGGCGTATCATCAGCGGTGGAAGAGAAAAATGAAGAGGGATCCTGTTCCCGACAGCTCAACCAGAACATCACGGTTGTGGCCGCACCCGGACCCGTCGGACCGAAAGGGGACACGGGACCGAAAGGTATGAAAATGACAGCTACAGCAACCATGGCCTGCCCTGGTATCCTTACCATGCAAAAGAACCTGTAGCCTCCATCAGGCCTTTGCAGCAATCTCCTTTAGCAGGCTCTCTGACAGGGGCTTCTGTGTATGTGTGTGTGTGTGTGTGTGTGTGTGTGTGTGTGTCAATGTGTGTGTGTGTGGGGGGGGGGATTCTTATGGCATATCACTTTTATTTATACTCTGCTCTAGCTAGTACTAGATTTTACCAGTTTGTGCGTTTGCAGGTCCCCCCGGCATGCCAGGGAAGGCAGGCGTGAGGGGCCCACCAGGCAGGCTCGGCCCGGTTGGACCAAGGGGGGAGCGGGGGGACAAGGGTGAACGGGGACCAGCCGGTGAGAAGGGAGCACCTGGGACCAGCCCACCTGGCCGGCGCCTGCCTGTCGTGGCGTTTTCCGTGGCGCGAACGGGCGGACTTAACCGGACATTGTCCAGCACAGTCCTGACGTATGACGTCATCCTTAGCAACGAGGGAGAAGCATACAACGAGGAGACGGGCAAGTTTGCGACAATGGTCGGAGGCGTCTACTTCTTCACGTTTACCGGGATGCACCCAAACACGCCCGGCAGCCACTATCGTCTCCACCTGATGAAGAATGGCGAGAAGATGGTCGGTCTGCACGAGCACAACGGGCCGCAAAACCAGCACCAGTCCAGCAGTAACAGCGCCATCCTGCACCTACTTCCCCGCGACGAGGTTTGGGTGGAGCTGGACAGTGACCGCTCTCTGTACAGCGACGACGACAGATACCTGACGTTTTCCGGGTTTCTCATTCACGCAGACTGAAACAGGACGATTTTTTGTAGCAGGCTTTTCAGCAAGGTTTTGATGAGCACCTACATGTATGACTCAAGACAACGATCTCTGTCACAAGGACAAATATAACCATACAAGTGAATACTAGAAGTTATCTAAGCAACTGAATAGATCATCTGGATCAGTATTGGCCACTTGGGCTCAAAATTTATTGTTGGGAATTGGTAATATTGTTGCACCCATTTTACAGGGTGCACCATATCAAATAAAATAAACAGCGAGCAGATTATTATTGGAATGAGCAGAGCACTTTGGACTAATGCCTCTGACCATTTACAGCTTAGAGGTACATATCCAATATTTTGTCAAAAACTTCTCTGTTACATAGCGGATCATAATGACCCCCAGTGGGGGTCTTCACGCTTCGTTAAAAATTGAAAAATCTCAATATTTTAGACGAAATCTTGAGATCTTATGAGACAATATTGAGATTTTTTATGACAATCTCCAGATCTTTCCGAAAATCTTATGATGAAAAGAAAAGGTCCCAAGATCTTTCCAATGTTTTCAAAGTATCTTGAGATTTTTCCAAAGCATCTCGAGATGCTTTAAGAAATATCAAGCTTTTTAAAGCAATCTTGAAAAAACGTGAGATCTTTTAAACAATCTTGATATTTCTTAAAGCATCTCGAGATGCTTTGGAAAAATCTCAAGATACTTTGAAAACATTTGGAAAGATCTTGAGACCTTTCGTTTTCATCTCAAGATTTTCTGAAAGATCTGGAGATTGTCATGAACAATCTCAAGATTGTCTTATAAGATCTCAAGATTTCGTCTAAAATATTGAGATCTTTAGAATGAATCTTGAGATTTTTCAATTTTTAACGAAGCGTGAAGACCCCCACTGGGGGTCATTATGATCCGCTATGTAACAGAGAAGTTTGTGACAAAATATTGGATATGTACCTCTAAGCTGCAAATAGTCAGAGGCATTAGTCCAAAGTGCTCTGCTCATTCCAATAATAATCTGCTCGGTGTTAATAATATTTATTCAATACTATAAATTGATATGAAAATCAGCTCCAAGGAAATTTTACTACTAACACAGTCACTGCAATGTGCAACATCCCCGCCAATGAACAGCAAAGTTCTAATTAAAACATTTCTCCGATGCTTTAAGATAGTTGTTGCTCATACATGCCGCAAAAGGCCAGCATATGAGGGCTTGTCGTAAAAGTCGTTATGTACTACTGCAGTTCACAATTATATTATACATGTACCAGCTTTATATTCCTGTGGTTTAGTTGCATTTTTTTGGGGGGGGGGATTTTTTTTTATTCGCCCGCACGCACTAGTTTGGATGTCTTCAGAATCAGAGGATGTCTTCAATAAAATTAAGTCAGTGTGGCCTTACTAGTATTTCTTTTAGTTCGTGGGTTGTAACAGTCAATGCATTAAATAAAAATCCACATACACCTGTAAACACAATGTACATACATGTATATATAGGTTAGGTACAGGTAGACATCAGAAATACATGTATCTGCATAGCTCCAATTTTACCTGCACTGACCTGCATATACCCAGTACATGGGCCAGTGCAAGTTAGGTGCAGGTAGACATCAGAAATACCTGCACAACAGCAGAACGTACTGCACCTGCGCAAAACCCGTAATGTATCATGCATAACACTTCGGCAGAACGTCTCATATACGGTCATATTCGCGTATATAAGGTTAACATCCCGTCTGTAGTTTCCATGTTATGTCGGAAAACATATCGTCTGTAACAGGCAAAATTCTGATGCAACGTTGACCAAAAAATCCAACGAAAATTGGATGCTTAGCGCAGGCGCAGTACGTTCTGCCGACGTGCAACCTGCACCAACCTGCATACATGCAGGTGGAATTTTCAGCCCTGAATTCGGTGTAATGTTAGACAGGAAGGATGGATGAAGTGAGATGAAACAATCCATCAGATTGGTCACACTAACTTGAACACATCCAGCTCCTTCAGGCTTGTAAACATGAACAGATGGCAACGTAGCAGATCATTGAATCATGATTTGCGAGGAAGAAAAAAAAAAGAAAGATAAACTAACCTGCCACCCCCCAGTGTGCTGAATAGGAAGTTCCAGCATGAGACGAGAGAGGATATGCCACATGACTTCTGGTACTGGGGTCGGCTCATGCAGTACCTACAGTAGGGGGGAGCAGGGTTACAAAAAATAGGTAAGTGGATTTATAGTAATGAGTTATACTGAGGTTATGTGTCTGAATGTACATCAATAGCACTTTTAGCAGATGCATTGAAAACTCCTAATTTTGTTGCAGTTTTGCTCCCCTGGAAATTCAAATCTTGACCCTCAAACACTTAGATTTCCCACATTTTAGAGGGCCAAATTTTGCTGAAAGACTAAGCTTAGTACTGTATGACATCACTTTCCATATCTTTACACACCATCAAAGATGACAAACTGGGCAACATGTTTCTCTGTCAAGAGCAGCAAAATTCTGTCAAATGATGGAAAGACAGACGCTGGCTAGAACACTGATGAACTTAGACAAACCTTCGATTATGAAACATAGTGTTCTTACCTTTTTACCATTACAAAGAAACAAGAAGAAACCAAATTTACTCAGTTGTACATAGTTTAACTTGACAATTTACATTGTAACGTTATCTGTATTCTATTCTTTTTTGTGACCTGTACTTAACCCAACGGGTATATGTGTACAATAGATGTCTTCATTCATTTTAT